ATCACGAATTAAACAGTTTTAAAAACAGGGCAGTGTCCAGATAAATTTGAAATTGATATATATGTACCAAAATGAAAAAGCTCACCATGTGAAGGGTTTTTGCAGATCACATCACAAATGCTAAGACCTTGACCAAGATCATGTTAGTGATTGCCTTCAATCGTGATCACAAGATGAGTGAATAAATGAATTTTTTTGTTCCTAATGGGTAGCTTTTCCACTTCGTACCCCTCAAACCTGCTCGTAAGCAACCAATATTAAACTTTAAATTTATTTATTAATTTGATAAGTTTAAATAAAAGTAAAAAACTGGAGAGACACTCACATGCATAACGATTTAGTTCTGATTTCTCATGTCTGGCATGTTTGGTATTCTTGTTCATGGTATAACACACTATGCATGTGGGATGTGTCTCGTGAGAAACGAAATATTCAGTATAGTATTTAATCATAAATCTAGTTTTGATGGGTCCCAGGAAATCATACAATTTAAAGATTCATGTCGGTCATTGTTCTTAATACCAAAGTTCATCACTAAACATTTCAGATAAGCCTTTGGTTCAGCGTACAGTAGAACAGCAACACCAACTAGACCCATTTCTTTGAAAGGTTGGTCACGAATCGCGTCAGGCGTGGGGTTGAGAGTGTGCATTTTAATCTCCAGCTTTTGGTGGTGTGTGTGTGGGGCCGTGGGGGGCGCAAATTTCAAAGCGAATTTGGCTTCGGGCTTTTTGAACATAATGTTGGAGGAGAATATCAAACTCTGTCAGGGTGATACCCAGTGGCTGGATAAGCCACTGATTTTTCTAATTCTAGACCATCCTCATATTTCAAAGCAGGAAATTACGATGAGGCTTCATCAATTAGTGTACCAGAATGTATGCCGTAGACGTCTGGGGACTTCATCAAGCTCCAAAAGGGCCAAATGTTAATCAAGAATTTCTTCCGGGAATCGCGACGATAAGGACTTCTCGGAGGATGACCAAAGTACTCATTAAATTTTAAAGATATTAATATGCCCATGTATTATAATTTTACTCAAAGGGAAATGCTAGTTGAATGAATTGCTACGAAAGGCGCTTATTGCATTGGAAAAGCCTATTTGTGACTGCCTTGTTTCCATAAGTTTTAATTTAGTTGAGAATAGGCACCCAGGCTGATCGTTGTAAATTGCGCTGAACGTTGTAAATCATGGAATAAATGAAACAGACAGGAAAAATCTCTTTTATACATGTGGTGGCTCTGAAAAGAGCCGTTGGTTTTGATT